GGGGGTGTGGGGGGAAGCGTTTGAGTTGGGGTTTGGGAAGTTGAGGATGGTCTGACGAGAGCGGCTTCGTTGGACGATGTCTGATGTGGTGTGGTGTTTTCGTTTGTTGGTGGTTTGTGTGGGAGGAAGAAGTGTTTTTGGTGCTGTGGGGATGAGGGTGTTGGCAAATTTTTCGGCAAAGGGCATCGTGGAATAAGGATTTCTAGAGATGAGTTGTTCGACAGTGAGGTGGGGGTTGGCAGCAAGAAGGTGGGTGAGATTCATCATGTGGCGGCGCATGTATAGGAATGTAACCTGTAGTTTGACGGGTTTCTTCCATTCCTTCTGGAGTTTGTCAGTCAGCTCGACTATATGCATTCTGTCCGAAGGGACATCCGCTTCAAACAGATCGAGACTAGCAATGTAGAACCACAACATGTGGTCGAACCATGTGATCGACCCATTGTTTGTGGGGCAAGAACATTTCAGGAAAGGGCGACCGGAATAGATGTCACGGGTCGGCTTTTGAAAGGTCTTTTGCTGCAGCACTGGATGACACTTTCCACATTTGCTGGGATCAAAGGGCCCGAGCACAGGAAAGTTGGCATCATAGCTGGCTTTGTTCATGGGGTATGCAAGGGCGGCTCTGGCGGCATCCGCCCTGCATTCATTAAGATCATCGACACTGAGTTGTGCGAGTGCAGTGTAGGCTTGGATTGTGATTGGTGCACAGTGGTTGAAGGAATCAAGGTGCCATAGTTTGTTATCTAAGGTGCTGTTGTGGTTCTCAATCCATCTGGCGGTTTGGAGAGGGAGGAAGGGGGCATCAGGGGACATCTTATAAGTGTTGTTCTTTCGGGGGGTGGGGGTGGGGGTGGGGGTGATGGCCTGTTGTTGCCTCTGCGCCATTCTCCTGATGTACCATTCTCTCTCCGCTTGGGTGACATTGATCTCATCAAACATTTTTAGCTTGTTGGCGTCAGTGTCAGCCGTTGTTGAGATCTCTCCTGAGACAGTGAGGTGAGAGGAGTTGAAGCCGTGAAGATCAAGGATGGTCTTCTCAGTCTTTTGCAACTATCTTGTCCATGTCCCGATTCTGAACTGTGGCCTGCTGGAGGATTTGACGAAGGTCCTTGGCATATGTCTGTATGGCGTGCTCCACCTTCTCAATGGGGGACTTCCATTTGGCAGCGAGAACAGCCCAGTCCGAGAATAGAAGGTTCTCAATGAGAAAGGGTGCCTGCGAATTGGTGGCTTCGTGCACCATACGAAGGATGGTCTCTGGAAGCGCAAGCATTGCAATCTGGGCATGGACACTAGGTGGCGAGAGGTGCATGAAGGTCGCAGCATTTGCAGTGAGCTTGCTATGCCAGCCTTGATTGTTGTCAGCCTCATCCTGCATGAACGGGAACGATTATTGGTTATAATGGTTAGTAGGCGACGGGGAGCAGAGAGAATTATATGGGTTTGAGTGGTTTTGGGAGTTGAGCAAATGATTTTGGTCTCATGGGCATCGTGGGAAGATCAATTATCAAATCACTAGCAGCTTTTATAGAAAAAAAACAGAAACGGAGAGGCAGGGGGGCATAGAGCAGGGGGGGAGTGCTTACCGGCGGGGGGGGGGGCTCGGGGGGGCGGGGGACACACTAAGGGTTAATAGGGAGGGATGAGGTGGGAGAGATGGGGGGGGGGGGGGGGGAAAGATCACATTTTGCTGATGT